TTAGTATCAGGCTGCCAGCACTCGAAAATACAGAAATAAGAGGACTGTCAACATGAGCATGCAACGAATCCACCAGATGTGAACGGCCGGTCTAACCTACCAAATCGCGTGCAGCGTGAGGCATAGCTCGGAGGCAACTCCTCAACTTCTCGTGTGCTCCCTGTCTAATGTCTATTCTGACATTTCACTATGCCTCTAAACTCTCCAGTCCACATACGGGAGACTACGTGCCCTAGAAAGTTAAGGATAACACTTCATCACGGGGGGTATTGGGCACTGGCCAGAAACGATCCAGGCTTCCGCAAGTACACTCTTAGATCGTCTGCTAGTACTTGACATTAGAATATTTAATGGTATACAACAATAAGTACGCAAATTATTTACCTGTGGATCCAGTGCCCGCAAAACGGCCCCCAACACGTGGAGGAGCAGGTCGTGCAGGAGCCTGTCGTGGGGGAGGAATGTCCTGATAATCTCTAGACTCAAAGTCCTCAGAATCCTCTGAGAACTGCAGCCTCTCGGAATGAGACTCATAATAATCATCCCATTGCTCGAAGCGGGACTGCTGAACGTCTATACCGGAGTGAGGCGTCTCGAACCGTCAGTCTGAATATCCCCAAACTGCTACTCGTACAAAGAATGGTCAGTATGACTAGTCTGTCTCAGGTGAATCTGAAGCTGCATCTCAGCGTCTATCGCCCGACGAGCAGAAGCATACACATACCGATCAAATACATTATTAAATATTACACGTAATTATTTTCTTTAAAATTATTAAAAAATTAATATAATAACTATTCGTAACTACATAAATGATATATATAATTCCACTTTTTCATTATATTATTATACAAACTAGTTAATTATACAAACTAACTAATTAATAAAATTATACATTTTTTTTAAACATATAGTGTAACTAATTATAATTTTTGAAACTAATAATTACTCAACAAACCATTCTATACATATATTACAACTAATTCGTTTCCTGAAAATACTAAATTTAGATGCATTATCCTATTAATAATTAGTATTATATATTAAAAAGTATTATTATCTTTATTTTAGTATAATTACATTTAACTATTGTAGATAATATATTATTTATGAGTAACATATATTAATAACTAATAAACCAAAATTTATCTAAATTAACATAAATCAAAAGATTAATTCAAATCTATTTTTAAATATTTAAACATATTTAAATAATTTTAATAATTAAAAAATTAAAAAAATCTAAAAAAAAATAAAAATCGCCGGCGGTCGTGCGCGCCTAGGGTGCAGCCGAACCTGAAAATCGGTTGCGCCAGTGGCCGGCTGCGATCGTTGGCCAGCCGCTCCCTCGGCGGCCAACGAGCTGAGTTCTTTAGAAAAAAATAAAAATTATTTACTGGTGCACTCGACGAGTTGAATTTTTTAAATTTTTTTAAAAATTATTTACTACTCGAAAAAAAAAATATATCGGAAGAACCATGAGACCTTTGCCTCAGCCGTGGTGACGATTGCCATTTTTTTAAATTTTCTTTTGTGAGAATTTGGCCAGAGGAAGTTGGAAGAGATTTTGAATTTTTATGAAAGAACAGAAATTATGTTAGGAACAATATGGTCAAAGGGCTGGTGAATAACAATTCATTTTATTTATATATAGATGTGTTACAAGAAGAAGAAGAAAAAATATACTCGTACAAAAGATGAGGTAACTCTTTGCAAAATGGCCGTGTTTGTACGACGTGGCACAAAAGCTGCAAAATGGTGCATGCAAGAATCCCGTACGCGCAGCTGCATTTCCGCCGCCAAAAGATATGTTTCGTTTTGTCCCATTGTGAGACATTACATTTAATGAAAGCTATAATTAGATAACCTCAAATTTCGATTTCCATCATTTGCAGGTGCCCAGATATCAATACTCGGCTACCTTTCGTCTTTTTTCATCTTTTCCCAAGTTTCTTATTTTTTCTTTTAAAATTTAATAATATATGAAGTCTTTAAAAAAACGAAAAAAACTTACAGACAAATTGAAATTAATGGGTCCAAACATTGTTTTTGGCCCGGTGTACCGAGACCAGGTCAATTTAGAGCCAGAACATGTCTGGATGAATTATTCGGATCGGGTGATTACGGCCCAGGTCAAAATCCGTCCAACGCAACTTTGACCCAGTCAATTTGGGTATTGATTTGATCAGGTCAACTCATTTGACCCAAATCACTATATTTTTTTAGAAATATTTTTTTATTTTAACAAATAAAAACTATGTATATATATTTATATATCAAATATTTATTATGAGATACAATATTATAAACACTTTATTATACAAAATTTATATATAAAACATATAATATTGTTACTTTTATGTAGATTTATGTGAAAAAACTTCTATATATATAATTTTTAAATTTTAAAATTAATTATACGATACATCAATTAACTCAATGACCTGCCGGTTATACTGGTGACCCGGAGACCTGTCCAGGTCGGATTTAAATTGTGGATCCAAATGTAATTGAATTTTACTAAATTGATTTAATTTATTATTTTTTTTAATTCACAATTTCCATTAATTTCACTTAAACTAATTTTAAACCATAAGCACACCGTTCAAATGATGCCTCGTTAACACCCAATAGCAATTTTTTTTCTCTCTAAAATAAAAAATCTCTTGCGCATCTCATATCCTCTTTTCCACTTCGTCTTCTTTAGTTGATTTTGGAGCTTCCCCCTGGCGGGACTCTCCGAGTTGCTCGGTGGCGACGGCCCTGGGCTTTGCGGTCCGATTCGCGGAGGATCGTCGGCGGTAAAGGCTTTTATTCACTTTGGGAGTATATCCATTTATACATTACATTTTGCATACACTCTACATACAGAGCTTTTATTACTGTTCATTGTCTTCTTTATCTGTGAATTGACTTGATCGTTGGAGTGCTAATGCCGAGAACCCCTCTCGGCCCATTTTGTAGGTCTACGAACAGGTCAGAGAGTAGATCTAGGTCATGTGAACCCAGACAAAGTCATTTACACACCAATATATATGTTGCGGCTATTGTCCTCTGATCCGGTTTGAACTGCAATCCACTTATTTGAAGAGTCTTGACGTCTCCGATGACCTGCAAAACGTTGAGAAGGATCCCGGCGGAAAACACTTCGACGCCCAAGTCAGTTCACATTTAGCAATAATGTTTTTTGCGCGCGTATGTGTGTTGTATTAAAATAAAGAATCTGATACCCTTTTATAGTTAGGGTTACTTAGGGACTAAGAGACTCACAGTATGATAACAAGTCTTTCCGTATCTTCCTCTCTAACTAACTGAATCTTCCCATATCCTCAATCTTCTTGTTGGTATACACTTCCCTTGCTTGAGGGATTCAGTTCCCTTCTTCTACATGACTCAAACTAATGTTGTCCCTGCATCCTCAAGGCCTCCCACGTATGTCGAGGTCGTCACACTGTTCATGACCCCCATCGGCCTACCTCAAAGTGGTCCCACTACTAACCCAGCTAAAGGCTCCAATAGATCCTCATACCTCCATTTTGCATCATGATGGGTCAAGCCCGCATTACCGAAACGAGCTCTCTTCAGTTTCACAACAACTTTTTTTAGCTTGGGCTGTTGCGAGTTGACCCAAGGAAGTGAAACTTGACCCTTCTCTATGAGATTAGTCATTCCATAGTAAATGGAAGGTTTTCTCATTTCCATGTGTGTAGGAATCAATTTTTTAAAAAATAAAATTAACAAATAATAATAAAAAATAAATATATAATATATATTATAAATCATGATTAAAATATATTAAATAAAATTATTTTAAAAAAATTAAAATAAAAAATTGAAAACTTACTTTTATTTATTTTTTAATTAGATATAGTAAATACTTATATAAAATTAAAACTAAAAAAAGCATTTATATATAATTTAAAAATATATTATTTTATTTTTATATATGATTAAAAATATATTATTTTTTATATTATTAAACAATATATTATTCTATTTTTATATATTATTAAAAAACATTTATATATAATTTATTAAAAGTATATTTTTTTTAAAAAAAAAGTTTTTATTTATTTTTTTAATTAAAAATGATAATTTCATTTCATTCTAGTTCTATTCCTCCTGCATATCAAACGCATCAATGACAACACATGTTTCATTCAATTCTCATAATCATTCCATTCTTCAATTCATTTCATTTCTACGAAATTCCGTTCCATCATACCAATCATGCCATAAGAGAGTGATTGGATATTTTCTCTGTCTTATATATCAATAATTTTTATGTAATTGCGATTAGTACAATTTTTATATATATGGAAAAATTACTGTCCATCTAAGTCAATTTTTTCTTCAGGATATTAACAATATAACTAAATAATAAATATAACTCACCGCTACACATTTTTTAATGAACTCACTAGTGATCCACCTCATATATTTTAAACTATCAATAATAATTTACATTTATTATTTTACAAATTTTTTAATCCATTGACTCTAATCATTACATTTGATTTCATATTAACTCACACAATCTCAAACTATTTTAGTATTCATAAAAATATTTTTTTCCACTCTAATAACTCATTTTTTCAATAAATTAATTTTTACCCAAAGAAATTTACATGAGTAGATACTCGGATTTTCAAAGCACGTAAACCGACGATTTTTCTAACAATTAAAATTAGGAAGCTAATAAATAATAACTGCAATTACAAAATCTCTGCAACTCCATGTATCAAACAAACTCGCACAAATATATTGTCTCAAATGTCCAAGACCCGCTAAGACCCTTGTCAGAAATCGCCATTATTGTATTTTGTCCCACACTCTATTCACACTTTTTCTTTTTTCTTTCTTTTTTATTAATAAAAAATATCTCTTTTAGTTTTGATCAGAATTCAGAAGGCTTTCCAGTTCCTCCCCACATAAACCCTGAAACCCCCCTTCTTTCCAAAACCTAATCCCCATTTCCATTTCTCCAAATTTCAGACAACATGTTCTTCAAACAACCTCACGAGGCTTCGAATCTCATGGCCCAAACAAAATCCTTAAACCCTGGCGCCCAAGAATGGCGGCCACCGAGCTCCAAAACCCCCAAAGCAACCCCTCTCAAGGCCCACCAGCTCCTCCCCCACATCATCTTCGGCTCCGTTTCTCCTCCGCCGCAGACGGCGGCTCCTGCGCTGGTTCAACTCGCTCCGCCGCCGGCTCCTGCGCTGGTTCCACTCGCGCCGCCGCCGCTGGAGATGGCGGCATACCACTACTCGATCCCTTTTCCGGCGGGATATCAGGGTTTCGCCCTTCACGGCCCATGCATAACACAGCCGCGTCCGCCCGTCTACAGCTGTTACCCTCCGCCGTGCGGGTATCCATTCCCGGCGGAGGAGGCGCCGGTGTTCGTCGTGGAGGAAAAACGTGAAGGCCCGACTCGCGGGTTTTGGGGCCCGAGGCTGAAAGGCCCGAAAAAATTTCCAGTGGCCGCGTGGAGAAAGGGTGCTCCCCCTCGATTGAGGAGGGCAATACGGTCATTTCCCTCCGAAAAGAAGAAGCCGCCGTCCGTCCAGAGATGGAGGCCCAAGGAATCGGGCTCCGGTAACGTCGGCGCTGTCTCCGGCGGCGCTCCGGCGGCGTTTGCCCGTAACCCGACTGGTGAAAAGTTTTCACCTTGGAAAACCACGGTCATGATAAAAAACATCCCAAATCAATTGAGGTACTTTTTTTTGGAAGTATTTTTAATTATTTATTTATTTATTTCATTTTAAACTCTGAATTAGTTTTGTAATTTGCAGTCAGATAATTGCCCTTTTTTTAATTATTTTGATCGCGTATAACGAAACACTATTTAGTGAAAAGATGAACAGTCATATAGCATATACTTATGTACGTACGCGCTGCTTCGAAATGTGTACCTTAGCTAGTTAGCTTGCTTGTTCTTGGTATTGTTTTATTATTCGCAATCTTTCTTGAAATTCGAGCAAATTTTCACGTATCATGGTTTGCAGCAAGTTAAGTCTGTAATTTATCCCTTCAAACAATTTTTTTTCCATAATTAAACAGAGTTATAAAAAGATTCAATTTTATTAAAACCAAATATATATAAATATGTTAGCTTTATGTGTTGAGTAGTCTGGAAAAAATGCTTTCTTGCAGAGCTAAACCAGCACATATTATCATAGTAACATTTTTGTGGGAATGCATGTTTTTGTCTGAAGCCTTGATTTGTGACTGTGGTCAAGATTTTTCACTGTCTTTGAGCCCTTTGTCTGGATATAGCCGTAGCATAAGAAGGGCACCATAATTTTCACCTTTTACCTTGACTTTATTTATTTCCTTTTTCTGTATAAACTTCATCTGTAAAAAAGTCTCATTTTAAAATTAAAAATATTGGTCTATATGACCATATTTATGTCTCCATGTCACATGCATGCTGCAAATTGATCAGTGATACAGCAGGTCATTGAATTTAATTTTCTCAGTTAATGCTAATGATTTACATCATTAATACTACTATATTATAGTTTTACATTTATTATGTCTCATTAATAGTCAACTTTTTACTTTTTGAGAAGTACTCAACTATGCAATCACGGGGTTTTTTTTCACCATTTGATCAATACACATTCATAGTCATAAGTGTGTGTGTTGATTTAAAGGTGTAAAAACAAGACGGTAAAATGTAACCGTTTTTTACTATTTTGCCTTATTTTATTTTGTTCGGTTTTTTTGTTTTTACCAGGAGAAGCTTTATGCTTGAGTTTCTTGATGGCTGGTGCAAAACATACTCACTGGAGTATGACTTCCTGTATCTGCCCATGGATTTTAAGTAATATTTGTTTTTAACAATTTAAAAAAATTTATTGATTTATATGATTAATTTTGTTATCTATGTGTGTCAAACCACTATTTGATTGGACAATTTTATCCAATTGCAGAAAGGAGGACAATTTGGGGTATGCCTTCGTGAACTTCACCACTGCTGATGCTGCCCACAGATTCAAGAAGATTCTGCAAAAGTACAAATGGAACATTAACAAAACTATTAATTCCCAGAAAATATGTGAAATCACTTGGGCTAGGATCCAGGTAAAATGCATGCATATTTGTACTATAGATCAAGAAAATTTGAATTCACACATCATTGTTTGTTTGTTTTTTTTTTTAACAATTTGTAATAATTCTATAATGTTTAGGTTTATTATGAGGTCAATATTTTTATTGGTAAATTAAATATTTGATTGACCCTTTTTTGCTTTATAGATTTTCTAAATGTGATTGCAAAATTTCCAGGGAAAGGAAAGACTGATGCAGAGGTTTGAAGATACCCCTTTTGCTTGTTGCCGAGAGGATTTCTTGCCGGTGCTGCTTGACCCGCCTAGAAACGGGTCGGATCCCAACCCTTCTCTGCCGGTGGTTGTTGGTAGGCTGCGTTACTAAAATTTCCGGCTACATTTTCCGACCATTCTCTCTCTCTCTCTCTCTCTCTCCTCTCTCTCTCTTTCATGTGTCATTTGTGTGTTGTTTGTGTGCTTTTTAGGTGTAGTGAGTGATTTGAGAGGTTTGTGTTTTCATAGTCTCCCCGGAATTTTCTTTTGGTGGTTAAAAGCTGGGGTGAAATGGAAACACAACAGCTTTGTATGGTACTTAATTTGTATGACTCGAAATTGGTGGACAATCTCCAGTTTTAATGTGTACTACTGTTGTAGTGTCTCGTTTTAGTTGCTAGGGCTCGTTCTGTAATAATATTACTTCATCGTATTATTCGTACAATCTCTCTACCTCAGGTTTCTGTCTCTTGTTACTTCATCGTATTCGTACAATATTCTCTTCGTCTTATTTAGAATGATAAAAAAAAAAAAATCTAAAATAAGAGAATTAATTGTAAGTTGAGCAAGCCTATGGTCCAGCCGATTTCTTGGCCGTCAATTGGTTCATGGTTGTTCGAGTCAAGAAGATAGGCTCGGACTTGGTCGAAACACAGTTTAGGGTTTTGTTTCTAAAGAGGGAGTTTGTTTGAGCCAACTGTAATTTAGGGTTTTATCCTCGTAATTTGATTTATAGGGTCTAAATTACCAAAATATGTAATGCGTGATGATTTATAGTATGAATAAACTAAATAAGCTTTATATATTTGTAATTGCTAAAATTCATTTAAAAAAAATAAAACTGTGTTTATAAACAGTTAATGAGGTAACAATACATTCACTTTTCAACAAACTAATAAGTAATAACATAATAAGCATTAGTCTCTGTTTAGTGATAAACCAATTGTCTCAGTCCAAAAGTTGTCCTAAAAGATTTGCCTCATTATAGCATCTTAAATAACTGCAGCAGATACAATTGACTATTGATTGGTTGATGAACAAAAATTCACCCTCGAAATAGCAAAGATTCACATCATCATACATAAAAATCACACAAATTTACAAACACACACACACTTAAAATTACAAACCCACAAAAAGAAGCAAAAAACAATGCCAAACAACAAAGGGGTTATCATCAATGTCTATGTAGAATCCAAAAACCTCAATTCCAATAAACAAACTGATCCCATCAAGAAAATCAAGAAAATAAATACAAAGCTAATATCTTCCAAGCCTCGTGCTTTCAAAACGCGCGGTTATGACCGACGAGCGCAACTCCTTGGCTATGCTCACGAGCTAAGGCATGCAAATGCAGAACAAACAAAATGTGCCTTCAACAATTCAAGGCAAAAACCAAAGGCAATTGTTATTAGTATTCGTATTTTTGCATTTCTCATCATTATTTATTATTTATTTATTATTTAATATAAAAAGCAAGGGATAATGATAATATATCTATATATACAATCGTGTAATCAGAAAAGGAGGTGGCTATTACCCGCGCATAAGGTGAGAGTATTTTTCTCGTGGTTTGATGGAATAAAGCGAAGGTGGGGATATGAGAAGATTTTTACAGAGGATTATGGCGATGGTCAAAAGAGGATGAAGAGGAAAAAGAAAGGAATTTGTTCTCGTTTTTGTGTAAGTTCTTTTAGTAATGTTGATCATGCAATTTTTATGTCTTAATGTAATGTTTCATCATAATTTTATAGTTTTTAATTTTATGTTCCTTATTGTGATTTTTATATATGCAGAAAAATCTGAGGTGTTTCTTGAAGAAATGCAGGGTTTGGGAATGCAAGAATGGGGGCTGTTGATGACCAATTGATATATTATTATTTATATATTTTTGAATTAGTTCTTTGATTATGATTTTCATTTTTATAATATATTGGACCATGGGTTGTTTTTGTGAAAATCTGCAAATAGTTTGTGATGTTCTGTTTTTATATGCTGATTGATAAAAGGATAGTTACTTGGACTTGGCAGTGGGTACATTTTATATAGTTAGATTAAATATATATTATCTTGATTAGACTCATTAAATTCAGAAAACTACTATGATGTTTTAGCCTAATTATAAGATGGAGAAAAAATAAAAGAATGAACGTTAACTTTAGTGAATATACGATGCAATACCATCTC